TTGTTTTTTAATTTTTTTGATGATGTGGCACTAATATATATTATAATTATGTTATATAAATAAATAAAAATGCCACATAGATTAATATACATATTTTAATTAAAAACATATAAAATTGCTTTATTACCCTCATCCTCACCCTCACCCTCCCAATCCCTCTTCTTCCCCTTCTTTTTTTCTCTTTTTTTCTTTCGGGTTCGGTGGAAACCCAGCCTTGCTGGGTTCGCGACCAGCCAAGGCTGGGTTTGCGACCAGCCAAGGCTGGGTTTGTCAGAACCTAGCCAAGGCTGGGTTTCAACCGAACCCAGCTTTGCTGGGAAAGCTCCGTTCTTGTTTTTTCGTTCTTCTTTCGATTTCCATTTGCAGTTGTTAATATATTTGGAGATTGATTTATAATTTGATTGCATTTTTGTTGAAATTTGATTAAAGTTTGATTGTATTTTTGTTGAAATTCGATTTGAGTTTGATTGGTATTGTTTATTGAAGGGTTATTTTGATTTGGTAAGATCTGTCAAGTTTGAGGTTTCAATGAAACCCAACAGTTCAAGTTTCCTCGAAAAAAGAGAAGAAGAAGAAATGGGTGGGTTAAGATCAGTTCTACAGATGGAGTGGAGATGAAAGAGCATTCACGGAAAAAGAAGAAATGGGTTAAGATGATTTTGCAGATGGAGTGGAGATGAGAGAGCATTCAGAGAATAAGAAGAAATGGGTTAAGATCGATTTTGCAGAGGATGAAGATGAGAAGTCAATTTGCAGTGACTGGAATCCATTGGAGGGATTTGGGGTGAAGAAAATGACATGTCATCAAAAAAGAAAGTCTATATAAACATCTTTTTAAGTTGTGTTTGCCATGTCATAAAAAAAAATATAAAAAATGTCATGTGGTTGAGTTAACGGCACTAATTAACAGAAGGATTAACGGAGTGCATTTTGTAAGTTGAGGGATCAAAAAGTGCAAAAAATTGTTGAGGGACCAAAAATATGCAACTCACTAAAGTTGAAGGATCAAATTTAGCATTTAACTTTTAATTTTTCTGTAATACTTTATTATAAAATAACAAATTTTAAAGTTAGAATTTCAACCAATAAACATTAATATTTAAAGATATATACTTTATTTTTTAGTAATAATGATTAACTAAATATCCTCACGATTATACTCACATCAAATTAATTATTGCGGATAAAGAAATGCAAAATATGCATATTTTATTAGTAATTTATAGAAGTTAACGCGGTGAATTAGTAAAATAGATGTATTAAGATATTTTCTTTAGCACTTTTATTTAAACACTTTTTAAATATTTAATGTGATTAATAATTAATAATTAACATTAAAATTAATATTTTTAAAATTTCAAATTATATCCAATCATATTAATTAAATTTATGTTTTTACTTTTCAAAAACAAACTCTTTTTTCTCTTTCCTCTCAAAAAACAAAGGCAAAAACCCTTCTTAAGCCCCTCAACTTTTTCAACAGCATGTGATAGCCCCTATACTAAAAAGGTAGCAAATAAATCCTCCAACTTTACGTTTTGTGCAAATCAGCCCCTTGGCTATCTGACTTCGTCACGCCGTTTGTTATTGGCTGCGTGGCATTGCCCTTGCATGCCTTTACATGTTTTCTTTTTTTTCTTGCCTTTACTTCGTTTATAGTAATAATATTTTTTTAAAATTAATTAATTAATATTATACAATATACATATCCTTGATACTTTTTAGTAAAATAATGATATATTTTTTATTTAAACTAATAATACATTTTACTTTAATAACCGTTTGTTATTGGCTGCGTGGCATTGCCCTTGCA